GATGAACAGGGGTCTCCGCGCGACTGCTGGTATGGCCGGCCTGCACCCTGTGGGCTGTGCTGCCTTAAAGTGGCATTTGTGTGAGGGCTGCTTTGCAATGTAGTCATGTGATTTCAGACTATGGATTTCGTGCTGCTTTCTTTTGCTCACTGTTGTTCACATGCTTGGTTCTTCATTATGCACTTGATAAACAGTTTACATCTGAAGTAAACCAGAAACGTGTTCGTCTCACTTAATGGTGACTAGCTCGAGGCATCTTGGTTTCCAGCATACTGGGGCTCAAACAGGACAGTTTTTTTTTTTTTTTTTAATTTGGATTTTATTTATAACACATCAGTAGTGATTTTTTTTTAATATTAGTCTTCCAATGGTGATTTCATTAAATGTCTATCTACTTAACTAGAACTGGTCTTGGTAGGAACATTGTTAATGTTCTTCCTGTTACCTACAGGTAAGTGTTGTCGCATTTGATAGAAATAGATTTTTATTCCGTGGTTCATAAGTGTGGAAGTAATCTGTCGGCGCTTCTAAAATGGCTAGATATTTTTCTTCAAGGCTTATTATTTCAGGTACTATATTATGAACAGTGATGAAAGTCAATGATAGTAACAATACAGCAACAATAAGAATGTCTAGAATGTCAAAGCAAAACTTAATCATGTCAAAAAGACACTCGCTTTTAATACTGCTGCAATGGAAGTTGTCTGTTCAGTTATTAAATGAGTGCGTCTATGCATCAGTTTCACAACGTCCCTGAAATTGTATTCAAACGTTTTGAGTTGCTGCATTTTGGGGGAGATTGTACAAAGCCTCAGATACCCAAAGGAATCCTGTGACCCAATCGAAAAATAAGAACCAAGGAGTTAAAACATGTAAGCCACACCTTTTCTTGTCAAAACAACAGGCTCTCTACATAAAGCCTGCAGATACACACTAGTAGGAAATATTCTAGAATAATTAAATGGTGTTACGGTAATGAAACATTTTATATAGGTATAGAATATACCAACTTGAATGCTTTTAGATGTATCAGTTTGCAACAGGTCTGTGAAGTTTATTTGGTAGAAATTTGTAATGAATAGATGGTTACCTTCTGTTTTTTCTTGTACTGTAAAATCTCCTTCTACTGCATAACAGAAAATAAAAATTATATTTTTCTCCCTTTGAGATCTAACTGAAATATAAAATACTTATGTTTGGTATGATGTTTCATGGTGTAAGAAATATAAATAGTCCCTGAAAGGCCCAGTTTCTAGATATTCAAGTATGAAATAACATGATTGATGGTTTTCTGTCGTTCAGAAAATGAGGAAAGAAACGTAAAATTATTTTACTTATATCTGGAAACACCAAAAAAAAAAAA